TAGAACTGAGGATAAATTTCCTGACAGTCAGAACCAATCAATCAGTGGAACAACTTGGCTCCTGAAGTTATGAATGTTCCAACAATGGAAGTTTTTAAGAAGAGGTTGGATAACCATTTGTCTGAAGTGGTGTAGGGTTTCCTGCCTGAGCAGGGGGTTGGACTAGAAGACCTCCAAGGTCCCTTCCAACTCTGTTATTCTATTCTAATACATCAATGCAAAACAGTTAAATGGCAAGTAGAGGCGGAGAAACAGAATTCTACTCCCAATGTTTCCAGGAACAGCTGTCAAAATTCCCCGGGTTGAAGTTCTGGGAACAGGTAACAAATTTCTACACCACAATCAGCCACAGCAGAATGCAGGACTATCTTTGGATTTGCAATCCTCAGCCTCATGAGGACTAGAATCTTCACTGGAGCATCGTTTCTAGAAGAAGGACCACAGGACACTATAATACAGATCCAGGTTTGCCCCCAGAAGGCCTAAAAAGTTAAATCCCAGAACTTCCAAACAGACTCTAGAAACTTACTGATCAAATCTTTGAAAGTCATATCTATAAAAACCTGGCTGGGATGCCCAACACGGTGACTCAGCCCGCAGATATTTACAGTATATTCCTTTTAATTTGCCTATAAAATATGCACGCACACACACCCTACAATTGTTAGATATGCATTTTTTTTACAATTCGGCCACAACATCACGGGAAATCCGACAAAAAGCAGTGGCAAAGGAACCCAGCAATGCCCTCAAATGCATGGACCACACCACCCATCCAAGCAAGAGGGAATTGTAGTCCAGATTAGGCCAAACAGATGGGGGGGGGGAATCTCACAAACACTTGGCACAACCCTTATTTTCCTGCAGCGCAAATAACCAGGCTGCTCCGTTGCTTTCACCCAGTTGGAGAGCGCAATCCTCTCGGGGAGAACCCCTTAGCTTCTCTGCCCATGCTCAGAAGTACCCTTTCTTCTGCATTAAAGCCACGGAGGGCCAGCGGGAGAGAAAGAACTCTGAAAGCAAACTTAGCCGCTTTCGCTGCTGCTCCTTCTTAACCAGGGCGCTTGCTTTCCCCTCCCAAATAACAAATTGAATATTTAAAGAAAATAATAGGGCCACGTCGGACCTCCCTCCAGGAAGAGCGAGTTGTGTAATAGGCAGATACTAAGAATATATATATGTATTTCCCCCTCAAAAGGCCAATCCCAAACTGATCGCAAACTCCAAGACTTTCCCCTCTCCAATCTCACCTCCCCAAGCCAAGCCCCGAAGTCTTTACCTGCGCCCGGAGCGTCTCCTCGGCCTAAGGACGGAGTAAAAAAAAAAAGGCCCCGATCTTTACACCGGAGGAGGGCAAGGGAAGCTTTTTTCGGCGTAGCAGGAGCGTCGCTCGGGCACCCCCTCCTCGCCGCCCGTCTCCGCCCGTTCGTGGCAGAAGCAACTCCTCCCTCGCTGGGCGTTAGCCAAAGGGAAGCAGCCGGAGCAGGGCGCGGCGGGGAAACCTTGCGTAAAAACGCACGGGCCGGGGAGGCCAGTTGGGGACGGAAGAGGGGCGGCCCGGGAGGGTCTCTCTCTGGCGCCGATCTCCGTTTTGTTGGCGAGGCCGAAGAGGGCAAGAAGCGGGGCAGACGGCCTCCTCTCTTCCGCGGTTGGAAGCAGCCGAAGTCTGCTGCTTCTCCCCCGCGTCCGCATTCTGCCTGCATTGCAACACCCGGGGGAGCCGCGCCCGAGAGAGCTTGGCGGCGCCCCGAAGCGCAAAGTCGGTTTTCATTTCTTTGCGCGAAAAGAGGGATGCGGATCTGCTAATGCGCGATCCCCAAAAGCGGCCGGATTTGCGGGGGTGGTGGTGGTGCAGCTGCCCCTCTAAGCCAAAACGGCTGGTTTTCCCAACTTTTTTGGGGGGGGGAGCTTAGCTGCCTAACGCGCGAAGCGTATCAGCCTGGCTGCGATTAGGTTAGCTGTGTCTGTCCCCAACACTCTTTCAGAAACTTCCAGCAAGTAAAGGTGTTTTCAATTCAGACTCCAAGCCCATCTGTCATAATAATAATATAGTTAACAGGAAGGTGTTAATTGCCATTTTTATCCATGACTTTCCATCTATTTGATACTAGTTTTCTAATATTTTGTCAGCTGGCAGAAGGGCCAACAAGGCACAAAGGTGTGTCAGAAATCTAATAAGTAGCCATTGCATTAGGATATGGCTGAGGAGACAAATGGCTTTAAATCCCACCCCTCTTCTAATCTTCCATTCCTGTGGCCTGCCCCAAAATTTCCACCATAAAGGTCAACTGCAAGTAGGCAAAGTAAAAATTGTCCAATTTTTCTCTTCCTCTCTGTTTCGCCCTTGTGTCTAAATACCTGAGCTCAGGGAGTGCCACTTTTCAATTGACCTGCAATTCATTCCAGATTCCTTTGGGCTAAAACAGCCATTTTTTAAAAAAGCTTGTAATTCTACCAATAAATGTGCTACGAATGAACCAGAGTAAAATGTGATAAAAAGTTTGAAAACATATCCTTGTAGCCTGTTCTAGACGTCTTTATTAAGAGTCATTCCAACTGGCACATGTTGGCATTGTACAAGTCACAATTCATAAACTTTTTTGTTTTAAATATATACAAATATATAAGTATTGATGAGTGTCCTCTACAGGAACAGGAAGATAAAGTGCTTATAAATAGAATGCCGCAGATGTAGATGGAAGGACATCCATGAATACTACTACTCCGATGGGGGAAATCCGGTATGCAGAGGGGGTCTTCAGCCATCAGACATTAAGCCAAGAACTGCCAATCTTTCTCTGTTCCATCTGTCTCCATGGTGGGTCCCTGTAAGATTTGCATCATTGTGTAGTTAGTCTCTGAATCCAACATGAGAAAAGGACAGCTTTCCAAATCTCCTTTTAACACCTCTGTTGGTAACAGATCAGTGGCAGGGGGAGTGATCTGAGCCACATTTTCTTCCATGTCCAAAACGCAG